ATCTCAACCATTGTGCGGCAGCGCATGACCTGCTCATGCAATTCGTGCGAGAACTAGAGCTTGACTTGGTAGTGATAGTAGAGCCATATAAACACCTGAGTACCCAACTCTGGGAATCTGACAGCACATCCAAAGCTGTCATCTGGTCATGTGGCAAGCTCCCTTTCCAAAATGCAGTCGACAACAGCAATGCCGGCTTTGTAGCAGTATCAGTAGAGGGCATCCGCTTCTATAGCTGTTACGCACCACCTAGCCTCTCTACTGTCGAATTCACCGCATTTCTGGATCGACTTACCGAGGACGCGAAGCATTACCACCCAGTGGCAATAGCCGGGGACTTCAACGCCTGGGCAGTAGACTGGGGCAGCAAGCATACAAACGCGCGAGGAGAGGAATTACTGGAAGCCTTTTCTACATTAGAAGTAGTACTGCTCAACAGTGGTGACACACCAACCTACACCAAAGGAGACGCAAGTTCTATTGTAGATCTCACTTTCGTCAGTGACAGCCTCACCAAAGGTAATATAAACTGGAAGGTGATGGATACCTACACAGCCAGCGACCACAACGCGATTCTCTGGGAAATATTAAACGTCCAGAGCCCGAGAAGACCTAAAAAGCAACTTAACACCATTGGTTGAAAGGTAAAAACGCTTGATCCAAGTGCATTGTTAGTAGCTCTCAATAGTGACCAGATTATCGCAGGCTGCGCAGAAGAGAAGACCAAGGACCTGATGAAAAGAGTGACCCGGGCGTGTGACGCCAGTATGTCTCGTAGACGTAGCATGAACACAAGACCTTCTATTCACTGGTGGAACGACCATATCAGCGCCCTTCGTAAAGAGTGTCATCAGAAGAGAAGAATATCCCAGCGTGGCTACCGACGAACTAACTCTGTGGAACTGGTTGCAGAGTACAAAAAGGCGCGCCGTGAACTGAATAAAGCCATCAAAGAGAGCAAAAGAAGATGCTGGAAAGAGCTTATATACGAGGTGGATAAAGACGTGTAGGGAAGGCCTTATAAGGTCCGAGGGAGTATGATATTACTGGAGGTGTACCACAAGGTTCAGTTCTAGGCCCGCTCCTATGGAATATTATGTATGACGGTCTATTAAGACTAACACTGGGAGAACCTGTAACGGGTGGTTTATTTCCCGTACTTACTGGCCCTGAATAAAATTAATAATTAACAAGATAACAGCGAAATGACTCTAATGCTAAATAGGGCGCCACCAGGATTATTTTCTCGGTTCCTGGAACCGGATGCCAGAGCTGAGTTTCTTATTCTACAGGGAGAGAGAGAGAGAAAGGTGTACTGGAAATAAATATATTTTTATTAACAACGACACCAAAATTTATTCAATAACCAAATAACAACTCGTACACTTGTACATACTCCTCAACTCGATTACACTACTCACTTACGACTACGACTTATAACTAACGGAGGATTTCGGACTAAAACCGGCGACTCCACTCGATGCTAATCTTCTGCTCGGCAATTCATCAACAAACAGAAAATGTCGCACCAAGTCCAGATTACCCTACTCGGCAATTCATCAACAAGTAGGGGTCGTCAAGAAAAGTTCCTAATCCCGCAGTACCCTCATATGGAGCGACTATACTGCAGTTTCTAGCTTATCACCGCGGTACCCCACTTGGCGTCTATACCACGGCTACTACCTTACTACCGTTGTACCCCACTTGGCGTCTATACAACGGCTTCTAGGACTGTACGAATTGCTCTACTCGGCAATTCATCAACAAGTAGAGAACACGTACAATCGCACACACTTTACCCACACGATCTCCACACACATAACCCACGCGTCCCACACACACACCGACTCTACTTTATTATTTCCGGATTTACTAAATTACTCCGAAAATTTACTACGTTAATTTTATTAAGATTTATCAGTCATTAGCTTACAATAAGAACTCCTGAATTTATTCTCATAAATTAATAAATTCACTTCTTAAAAATTCCGGCTTAAACCAACGCTTCTTTTCCTTCCAATTTTAACACGAGCTTCTCTCTGCGCATTAACAAAATTCTCAAAACCTTCTTTTGTAATTTTAACTATATTTTTCACGGACGTAATCCACACGAATAATTAGTTTTACAATTAATTTTACCGGAATAATGATGCTAATAAATTATTGGTATGAATTCGATATAAGACTCCCCTGGCAGAAATTGGCCATTAGACTAGATAATAAATTATAATTTTACTCAATGTAAAAAATTACGTGCCTCAATTTTCCTGCGGGTGTATCAGTCTTATCTGCGTCGAAATTTAATGAATTAACTCTCAATAATTAATAACACGAGGAATAATAAATTCCTAGTAATTGAGAGTGACGATTGGATTAAAGATAAATTCACCTCGGTGAAAAAGTAATTTCAAAAAATTATCCGATGTCTTAAATTTCGAAAATGCGTCGCAGTTTTCTCAATAATAAATTCCGGTGCTTAAAATATTTCCAAGTATACGATAAATAATTTTCAGTAAATAATAAATCAATAAAAATTAATAATAGTTAATTGGTAATTCAATTTGTAAAAATTGTAACACTTGTCCAGGCATTTATTTCGTGAATTTACTGCGTCACAAAATAGACGCCGTTTCTACGCCGTAGCTTGACCTCGGGTGTTGAGTACTGCGTCGTACTTAAATTCCGTGCGAAGACGATTGGCTTTATTCCCGTTGTTCAGAATATTAATTAAAAATTTAAATTATAAAATTGAATTATTTAAGCTAAATCGGAACGTTAAAAATTATTACCAGCTGAATTAATAATTATTTCTTCGTGACTTAAACCCTGGAGGTCTGGAACATTCTTCGGGTGTAACAATCCCCTGGAGAAATTGTTCACAAAGCTAACAAAATTAATTTAATTAAAACAATTAATTATTAATAAAATATTAGACGAATTGAATTACCAAATTAATTAAAATGAGAAGTAGTATGTTCCGTGAGCCGGGTGTGAACCCCTAGGCTCATCACTACCACAGTCCAATACCTGGTGTTGATTGGTATGAAGAAGCTCCCTGGTTGCTAATGGCTTCCTTCTTGGACTCCTCGATGTTACTTGTTTTAATACTACACTACTTCTCCCGATACAACGCGCTGCTCAGCTATTTAATAGCTCCCCGAAATACCCCCTCCTACTCTCTTTCTAGGGCCGAAGATCGATGCGCCAAAATGCTAATCGACAAAGTTATCGATCTCTGGCGACTTATCGATTAAGGGTAATTTAAACTTGACTCAAGAGCCAAAATCTTGAACCAAGAATACCATTTTGAAGAAAATGATTTTCTTAAGTTAAGACAATAAATTCTTGAGACTAGAAAAATATACTTAAATCAAGAATAATTTCTTGACTCAAAAATTCATTCTCTTGACTCAAGAAAATCATTTTCTTCAAAATGGTATTCTTGGTTCAAGATTTTGGCTCTTGAGTCAAGTTAATTTTTTTATCAGTGTACAAAGTTTAAAACTTTTTTTTGCTACATCAATTTTTGTTAGGAGTATATTGCTTGAACTGACAATGTTTCTTTTTTGGGTTTTTTGTTCATCTCCCTGAGTTCTTTCGAAGACATCGATAAGAAAATGTTATTTTTTTAACGATATTTCATTTTCGAATAATGAAATTTTTTTTCACTTTTTCAGGGGGTACCCCATTTTGCCCGCAAAAAAAAATTTTTTTCTACGGCAACTTGAAATTTGATTACTCTCCTTCAATTACGACTGAAAACGAGAAAAATCAGCATATTTAAGTCCTTAAAACCGTAACGGTTTCTTAAGTACCCCATTTTGCCTCCCCCCTCCCCTATAATACCTTTCATAGTCTTTTGAACTACAATCAAATTTGTTACATTAAAATATATTTTATTATTAAAAAAAGTGCAAACTTCGAAAATTATCATTTTTTAACAATAATTTTGCAGAAAATTTTAATCAAATTAGAATATTTGCTCTTTATAGTACAAAGTGTTGTGTTACAACCAGTAAACATCGCTTGCAATGCACCAATAATTAGAAAATCGTTTTAGTATTATTTGCTCTAATTTTCGTTATTTTGTTCTATAATTGTTTTTTTAGCTCAAGGTCGATAATAACAGTGAACAACAACAACCACAAAAGAAGAATAAAAAGACTACTAAAAGATTAACTAATCCGCTAGAAAATAGTGAGGTAACTTTTCTATAATCTCATGAAAATAAACTCAGTCAATAAAATGTAAAGGTTGTCAATTGAAATACTGATTTATTTAATTAAACTGATTTATTTTTTGAATTCGGTACTATATAGTTCATAATTATTTTGTAAGGACGCTCTTCCTATTAAGTTTTTAGAGATGATTTTGATTTCGTCAATAATCAATAAAAACAAATTGATAATAATTATAAAATTTAGTAGAATACGATACTACTTGAAAGCTGATATAATGAAGGAGCCATTAAAATATTTTCTTACTACCTCGGTCGAAAGTACGCCATCTATAACTCGCTTCGCTCGTGCCGCAAATATCGGGGGCAGGCATCAATTTTTTTCAATGCAATTTTTTTCGTACTTTCGACCGGGTAGCAAGAAAAATAGTATACTCTAGATGGGTAGCAATTTGAGAGCCCTGCACTGCGCGGCATGATGCCCTCGTCTTCGCTTCGGGCATCTTGTCGCGCAGTGCAGGAATCTCGACTTTCTGCCCTTCTAGTGTAATATACTATTATTTGAATGATTCGTTTCTCCGAGCAATTTCCAATATCCGATTTATTCAAAAATATTTATTTAATTTATTTATTCAAAAATATTAAAGTTACTGCGCATGCGTAGCTATGAAGATCGATGTAAAGATAAGCCCACAATCTTTTTCTATCAGTCATTTGTAATCTTGCGCAGGCATAAGCAATCTGCAAAAATCAACACGAGTTAAATATAAATAATAATTTTCACACTTGCATTTATATATTCTTACTTATAAATTCAATAAAAATGGAGTTTAAAGGTGGATATCAATTGTGTCCTACGTGCAAAAAACCACTAATAAATGGAGAAAACCTAAAACAACTGCGCATTAAATGGATTAAGTGGGGAGTGTGTAGTCTATTTATCACTGCTGCTGGTGGAGGAATTGGAGCTTGTGTGTTGTCATTTTTGGGATTTGGATCTGCTGGTGTAGCCGGCGGATCTTTGGCCGCAAGTTGGCAAGGACCCGCTGTGATGGTCAGTTCTATTGTTCACTTTTTGATAATATTAAAATTGAGAATAAAAATTAAGTTAGCCGAAATCTAAAAATTTTTAGAATTTTTTCATTGAAAAAATTACTACGAAAAAATAATAAGAAAAAATTAGGAAAACGGTTGACCCTGAACGCCATCCCTGCAACTTCCCGCTTTTTTATGTTTTTGAGCTCTTCGAGCTTAAAAGTCTGATAGAAGTTTGATAAAACGCTATTTTTAACTTCCCGCGAAGAAAATTGAAAATTTTCAAAAATCGGGAAGTTATTGTTTTGACCCCGTTTTTCGAAAATCGATTTTTCATCAGATCTCGACGTTTTGAGGTCCTAGGAAGCTTCCCTGACTATTCCCGCGATGGTGTCTGTATGTTTGTATGTATGTATGTGTGTGTGTGT